TGAAACTTTCTTTCAAATTTTTTGGCGATACAAAATGTATCAAGACCGCCATCCGAACAATGCTGCGTTTGTGTTCAATTCCTTTGCCAATAGAGACGGACAAAACGGTTGATAAATTCACAACCACCCTAAAAAATCCAAACACGCATCTTTAAGGCCAACTGCTGCGCTTAAAGTATTCTTCTTACAGCACATAAAGCATCTCTTTGTGTGAATTGGAGATGTATTTATGGCTCGAACAACATGAAACGGGTGAAATCGGTTGCTGAAACTTATTTTTTCTATCCATAATGTAAGCATAATCAAATTTGGTACCCTCTTACCTAAGCTTTCCAAAAGTGAAATACATGTGGGATATAAGACAAATGCAAATACCTGTTGAAATTTGGCCTCGGAACTCCACGTGGACGTACTTTGGCAAATTAGCAGATCAGATCGACATACTATCAATCATCCAATAAAAATGTCCAATGTTTTAATACCTATTTTTGATTGTCCGAAACGAAAATACGATATTAGTACGTCCCAGTCTTCCCTCAATTTGTATGAAAATCCCATCAGTGAGATTAAAGAGAAAAGTAAAATCCACATGTAAGACGAAATTTTCTTTTGAACAATAAAGCGAATAGCATCATTTAAATGTGTGTATGTACATATATATTGAGTACAAAACTGGTGACTTAATACAAAAAATACGCGTTTAAAGTGTACACGTCATACAACAGTTGGGAAAAGTGTGTCATCGACAAGTAAAAAGTCAGCGACAATATCATCCCTTATATAAAGCTTTGACAGCAACCACCCGCAATAAAATAAAGAAATAAGAATTAAGTAAAAGACAAAAAAGAGGAAATTCCAAGTAAATTGTGTTAAACATGAAAATACTGCTTGCGTATGTATATTGGAAAATGTAAACTTTTATGCTTAGATAAAAAATGTATTTAAGTATATTGTACCATAATTTTATAAGAAAGGATCAAAGGAAGAACAAAAGAAAAAAAAAAAAAACAAAATAAAATAGATGTAAAAGACAAATGACAACAATTTTTAAGTAATAAAAAGAAGAACTTGCGAGCAAAGATTACATAAAGTTATTTTAAGCAGAAGCGGAAAATTATTTTTTGTTGCCTATTTGTTAGCCTGTAAAATTATAATAAATCATTGCCAATTTCTGGGCTGGTAAGATTTTGAAATTTTCTTGTCTACATTAAGATATGAATCGTTTAACTTTTTTGTTCTTACACTTAAAAGAAGCGAATATAAATCTCGAAACTGGGTGACAAAGTACTTCCTTCTACTTGCATTCGCACATTGTTTTCCGAACGGAGTGTGCCCTAAAACAGGCGAAGTAAGCGAACAAAAATGAATTTTGTTACGTAAGTTGTTATTATTGATTTTAAGCATGTCTTTAGATGCGTTAAATCGATGTTTTTATTACATTATATAATAAAGTAAATCATAACAAAATAAAGACATATAAATAGCTTTTTACATAATCGATTAATGGCAATATTAGAATGAACATTCTTTTTACTGGATGTATACAAGAAACCCATTGGATACTTGGCTTTTTCGGTTCATTGAAAGATGAGCAAGCTGATTGGGAGACAAAATTATCAATCATACATTGTCCGGAAATTTAAAGAGAAAATTAAATGAAACGAAACAATTCCTCCTTTAAACCCCGCCAAGTTCCTCCTCCATTACACTCAACTAATATCAATAAAATCAAGATGAAATCGTTGGCGAGAATTTGTTTTGTTCATACAACTCCAACACAAAAGTGCACCCTTAAAAAATCTTCTCCTCCAATCCGCAATTGTGGTCAAGTTGTCACAATAAGCATCTGTTGTGGTCGTAGACTCACATCTGCTCTTTATTGGAAGAATCGCATTTGCAACAACTAACTCTATAGACATCCTGCTGAAATCAGCTAAAGACTATAGGCTACTTACACTATAGACTCAATACAAAATTTTTTTTTCCTAAACTAAAGCCAATAATCTTTGTTGATAGTGTTCAGTTTTTTTGGTTTCTTACTCTAACAATTTATTTCATTAATCTAAAATAGTAACAAGAACACAGTGTCTTCACAAAAATATAGGAAATACTGTTAACAGATCTGAAAAATGAAAAATGTGGTTTTCTTTAAGAAAATACCGCAAGAGTTTAATTCAAGGGCAGGTTGTATGTTCATTCGTCATTATCTGGCCCAAGTCTATTTTAGGTAAGAACGATTGCAGGCGTTTCAGAAACTCTTCCGTGAGGTATAAAACGAGTTGAAGAAATCCTTTCAAGAACGCCAATGATTATTATTTGAGGAAAGATGCCCTTTGTGTTTTGATTTCTACTCGTCCTTTGCCGCAAATGGCGGAGACAAGAAGAGCAAAGTGTGCTAATGTGATGATGGCATGAACTTGTTCGCAGAAATAAAAGTACACTCTAACGACCTTTGTTCACTGTACATCGGTCTTTGATTGAATTTTATGCAAGACTGCACGGACCCCGTTTGTCAATGGGGAAAGAGTGCGTCTCATTATATTAAGAAAGATTTTACGAGAAAAGGCGTCAGTCTTGCAAAACTTTTTTTGTAGCTTGATTTCACACAGCCTTTTATATAAAAAAAAATTCAAGAAATAAAAGAAAATTTATTCCTCCTCGAATATAAAATTAAACAGTTTTATAGTCATTATTATCATTTTAAAGAGAATTGAATGAAAATATTCTATGCAATGTATTTTTGAAAACACATTTGCAGCTTAAAATATCTTAAGGGCTTCTGGCGATTTTTATCACCCTTTCTTGTTTCAAAATACGGGATATTGCTATTAGTTCAATTCTCATAATATATTGCCTATAGATGAATGCATGTTCATTTGTATGGACAGTAGTAGTAACAGTTGCTTGTTGAGCTAACTTAATCTTTTTTTAATTGTTCGAAACAATTATAGACTGTCAAGTACAATATGTTGAGAAAGGAAAAATGCTAAAGAAAAATATTTCCTTTAAACTACTCGTTAGGCAATGGTAAATATACGCGCTTGCGCAGTTTTTAATTCCTTGGTATAGCTTTAGGAGTTTCCAGTGCAAGCTTTAATGATCAGCAAAAATTCTATTTTCGCATTCTAAACTTTTTAGAAAAATACTTTACTTGAAAATTTAATTAATTTAAATTTTTCTAATCTTTTAAGACTTCGCGATTTGCCCGCTTAATAAGAAATTGATTGAAAAAACTCACTGCTTTTATAATGAACTTGATGACGATTTATGATGATAAATATTTGCATTCACTGCCGTGAATTGTAACGATTTGATAGCAGAAATTTTAGGTAGATCACAATAACTGTACAATCTGCTAATCGCATGTTCGCCAATCGTCAGATTTCTATCTCAGTCGACGGAATCGTAATAATTTCAGTAGGAAATAAGAAATGGGGACGCATACGACTATTGACTGCAATGTTAACTCCTTTTGCAAAACTGTTGCATATCTCATTTTCTATGATGAGTATAAAGCTAACATTAAGTAAGGGAAATTAAAGTAGAAGGTTCGTTGACTTATGTTATGTTCAATTCAATAATCAAACATGAATTTTATTATGCGACGATTATATATATGCTATACATATATTATCTATCGATCATTTCGAGGGTAACAAGATGAGTCGATAAGAAGAAGACTCTACAGAGAAGTTTCTTTTAAAAAGTTTGTAATATTGTAAAATGTCGATTTAATTTATTTTAAAAATTTTATTAAAATCTTTTATGCACAAGTTAAAGTGGATTTAAGCAGTTAATGACGTTGCCAGGCATGCGACGTGCATCGTGACTTTCTTTCATTATTTTCGTTTAAGTTCAAGGTGAGTAAAGAAACAAAAATTAAAACATTATAGTGGGCAACGGCTCACCGTCAACAAGCCAGACAGACAAGCTTTAGCCGATTCAGCAAGTGATCGATATAAAAAACAATAAGTCTGTCTTAAGTCATTCCGAGTGTATAGTAAAGAGTAAAATAATAATAAAAATAAAAACAAAAGACAGACATTTGATTTTCTTTCTTATATCTACGGTGACAGACGCTCTTCAAATTCCTTTGAAGATATAAGCAGTGATCATGTTTGTTTGTCATCTAGTACTGGATTGATTACAAGGATTTATACTCTTAAACAATTTTTACATGAGTTAAATGCACAGATAGCACTTAACGGCACAGATAGTCTTATAATGTAGATAAACGCATTATTATTTTTGATATTTTTACCCTGATTTTATCTCAACTTGAAAAGATTTTAAAACATTCTACATATACTAAATTTTCATCTTACAAGTAAAAAATAGTTTTCACATTTGTTTATATTTATAGCATTTGTTTTCTTCTTTTCTTTTTTTTTTTTTTTTTGGGAACGGAATTGAGAAAGATTCTTAAGTGGACATTTTTGCTTCCATTCTTAAGGAAATAAAGTTTCAATGCACTTCGTTTTAGGATTTTATAGTATTGATTACATAACGTAAGTTCTGAAGAATTTTTATAGGATTACTGACAAGTGCAACTAATTAGATGCTTTAAGCCAAATTTCTTTCAAAAAAAAAAAAAAAACAAAAAGAAGGCAAAGAGTTGTCACCAGCCCTTCATATTGATTGTGATGATAATTTACAAGGATGATCATTGATGAGATTGAAGTGTTCCCTTTCTGAACAAACGGATATAGTAAAATAATTGAAATTGATTTCGTTTTGAAACCTAAACACATGCACTCTTCTTGTAATCACCCATAGTTCAATGCATCGAAGAAAGGTAAAGGTAATCTTAAGTAATCTTAGAGAAAGAAATTGAAAGACATAAAGTATTTATGGTTCTTTTATATTCGAAAAGGAGGACAAACATAATTGAAAATGAAGAAATAATTTTTCTAATTAATTAAAAATTATGTTTAATTCTTTATAATAATAATAATAATAATGATAATAATAATAGACATATGTATTTTAATAGTAAATACCTCAGAGACTTTACTGTTAAGGAAATCATTGTTGGAAGCTTTGATAATTTATTTATTATTTATTTATTTATTTATTTATTTATTTCGTTTTTTGGTTTATTTAGTTTTTTAATTATTCGCTAAGATTATTTTTTTTTGTTTTTATTGAAAAATATAAAAAATATTTTATAATATATGTGATGAAAACTTTGACAATACACTAAACTTAACTACACAAAATAGAATGTCATACTGAAAAAGGACGGCAAACGGAGCCAAGAAATACAGTTAACCAGCCATATAGGCAGGCAGGCAAGCTGGCAGCCAGTCTTCATGTCTGACAACAAACCAACCAACCAACCAGTTAGCCAACCAAATGAAAATTCAATCAAACAACCAAACAGCGACCTAAACGATGCTCGTTTTATCGAAAATTTTCGCCAAACAAAACAAACATAACGAGTAACTAACGAATTGAAACGAATACAACTCCCAAGACGATGATGATGTTGTATGAGAATTGTGGTCTTAAGCACATGTCTAAACATAAATTTCCCAACGAACATGCTCGTTTCAAACTTACGAATTGCTTTGAAATTTCGTTTAGAGCAAATATTATTCGTTTCTTTATGTAAAGCCGATGAAAAAAAAAAAAAAAGACAACGAATCGCTTAGTGTAAATGTATGCGGGTGGGTGCAAGTACAGATGTCAGTCATGCATTCAAAAACTCATACAAACACATACGGAGAGAACAAGACAATAAAACTAAACTTTCTTCCCCGTAACAAAATACTCTGCCTTTATACTAATGATATAAGAGGCCTCTCAAACAAAACGTAACTACATTAATAATAACAACAAGAACAACAACAACAACAACAACAGTAATAAAAAAATTAAGGAACAATGAAAACAGTAGCAAGTTGTATTTCTATTAACAACAAACTTGTAACATTTCGCACACCTTTATATAAAGGCACTGGAAAATTATATACGAATTCCTGAATAAAAAGATATAAGTGAAAGAGAATATTATTGAGTCGTCGCTGAAAACTGAACCCCTAACTTATCTCTGTTGTTGTTGACTAAAGTACATGTCTCTTGTTGGTATTATTGCTGTTTCAATGTTGTTACTATTGTTGTTGGAATTTTGTGTGCAATGCAATACTGACAGCACAAACGAGATAGCAATAGTTTTATTTTCCAGAAATGTATATAAGGTTTTGTAAGATAAATTTATTTTGTATGAGCAGGTTGGCATTCGTTTTCAATAAAACAAAACATTCTTTTTTCACTCACTACGTTGAAAAATGTAGCAACAACAACAACAACAGCAACAACAGCAACAATAACCAACAATATCACAGAAAAGGGGTTTCTGTTGTTTATGCTAAAACCTACAAAAGACTTTGCATTATAAAAGCAAAAAAAAAAAAAAAAAAAAAAAAAAAAAAAAAAAAAAAAAAAAAAAATAAAAAAAAAAAATAAAAAAAAAAAAAAAAAAAAAAAAAAAAAAAAAAAAAAAAAAAAAAAACAAAATATAACAATAATAATAATCTCAAATATAGGCGAATCTAAGAAGATTTAACAATCAGAAAACTTAAACGTTAATCAATCGATAGTAAGAAAATGAAAATTAAAATTCGTTTGCTTAGTTCGATGTATTTCAATATATTTATCATAAATTTAGTTCATTTGTTTATTCTAAGCACTAAAATGTACAATTGTTCTCCTTCAGCCAGCTAAGCTATACATGCATAGATTTAGTTAAGTTTCCCTTCTCGCAACGAAACGTAAATGTAAACATCTACACCCACCCGCTAATTTCTTTTCATCGTTTTCCCTTCTTTTAACATGTTCGCACATATAGTTTTCCAATTGAAGGAGTAAAGATAACACTAATCAGGAAAAGTAATAATCAACAATGCTAAGAAATTTAAGTCTCGCTTTCTTGCATTAAATGAATTCTTCCAACGAATTCTTCGCATGAAAACAATTTTGCCGCCACTCACCACTTATCAGTAATTCAATTAAGAGCAAAATTAAGAGACCTCGCTTAATATTCTCTTCTTCAATTGCATGCGAAATTAACAGGCTTTACTTAATGTTATGATGCATTTAACATCTGCTGTTAGAATACATTATCATAAATGAAGAATGAGCTTAGCGCTAATACTATTTTGACTTTTTTTGGAACGCGTAACTTAAAAAGCCGTATAATTTGCTTTCATTTTCAAAGCGTGATACCGCTGTAACCGCGGACCCTTTTCACATATTTTTTTGGAGACGGAAAAAAGGTTAATATAGTGACAATATTCAGCATGTATTTAGTTAATAAAAGACAAATAATTTTTTTTTTTTTTTGAAAAACATTAAAAAAATGGACACGTTGCAACCATTCCCGCGAGCCATCTTTCAATGGAAAGGTCTGCGCGGCCCACCTTTCTCTAATGCTAGTTTTAATCTAAACACAAAAAAAAGAAAAAAAAAACTTAATCTACATACCTGCAAATATATGAGTACCTATAAGATTTTAGATATATTGAGTTTTATGTGGCTGACGAGTTCGTTCAAAATTAAATTTTAAAAAATTAAATTTTTCATTGCAAATGGGATTTGGTTTACCATTACCAATAAATTTTATTTTATTTCTACCCATTAGTCTATTATTCGAGGAGGAAGGTGCACTAGCGTTTTTTTGTTTGCAGGGTAAATACTTTCCAAGGACACCTGGTAGCATATTAAAGTAGCTGGAAATCAACAGGCAAAATATTAGACCATAACTCCCGAGCAGGGATTCATTTCTATTCTCCATCTCTCTCTCTCTCTCTCTCTCTCTCTCTTCTAAAAGGTTCAAACCATCTGTTAAGCATCATATATGAAAATCAAAGCTAGTTGAAATATCATCGATGAACTACGACCTAAAAACAATTGAGAAAAGAGCGCTTCATTTTCAAATCTCATCTTCTATAGTTAATAAGTCATCGATTGCCTTAAGTCTTAAAACAGAAAAAGCAACTTTTAATACGTGCAAAACACTATTAAGGCTCCCTGGTTCCAGGTTTTGTAAAATTCAATCGAACATTGTTCGTACTGGACCTTAATTGCTTTCGTTACTGTCGGCAGAATTTTTCAGCGAAAAATTCACTAGTTTCTCGGGTGCCCCCAAAATTCTACTTCTAGTGATGGATGTTCGTTCGGCTTTACGATTTGGGTTAATATTTTGCTTGGCTTGTATGAAGCACTTTCGAACTAAAGACCGACTGATTTGAGCGATTGCAATTTACACCCACGATCATCGAAGAAGTGAAGTGATTTTAATTGAAAGATTCAAAAATAATTATCAGAGACGCATCTTCAGATATTAAATATAAAATTGTTGGTTACACTTTCTTCTGGTAAAATTATTATTAGTTTTAGGAGATTTAAGAAGAGTGAATTTATTGGTGCTAAACAGCAATCAGAAGAGGGCGCAAAGACCAACTATTAATTTTGATTGTAAAGGCAAGCATAGGTGAAATGTCTTTCATATAGTTTCCCGCTCTTGAAAATATCGCTATTCTTCGTTTTTTGTCAACACTTTATAACAATATATTGCTGTTATTTTCAGTGCTTGCAAATAGATGAAAATTATTGCTAATGCTTTTTATAAATATCTTACCATTTAAGTCTCTTTAAATTTTCACGAAAAAATATTTACTCTTTATGTTAAGTAGCTTCCGATTACTCTCTTCATTGCGTCTTTTATATAATTATGTAAAATTCTTATTTAGGAGATGGAGAGTAAGGAAATGATGTTAATAGTTTATCGCACTGTTAGTTCTATTGACCGTAATGTGGCAAGGAAAAGCAACAGTTTACCTGAGAACAACGTTTTAGCGCAAAAAGAGGACAAGAGCAAAGAGTGTTTCAGTAAACAGTAAATAAGAACCGGCTTATAATAATATGTGCTACTAAATAGACTTAGTACTTAACAAATTAATAAAAAGCAAAAAAAAAATTAATTATGTAAAATAAGGCATGAAATATATTACATTATATTATATTATGTATATTTATTATGTATTGCTTTCGAATCAACTTCTTCCATTTTAGCTCGAAGGATGTCTAGCAACAAAGATAAAAAAAAATTATATAAAATATAATTGACTACACATATCTTTATACCGCAGTGTGGCCAGCGGGTGGATTTTTTGATCAGAAAAAATAAATCAAATAAAAAACTACAACATTTTACTTTTCCTGATATATCAACTTCCAAGTTTGCCTTTAGCAAGTAGAATTAGAAATAGGCTTTAAAGATTCCTGTAAGTCTTCGAATAATTTAGAAGAAACTTTAATTAAATTGGACCCAGCAAAGAAAGAAATTACCTCCAGTTTGCATAGCCTTCATTACTATAATGATTTCAAGTACGTCTTTTTTTCTATATCGTATCGTAAAGCAACGAATTATCGCTTTTTTGTGTATATCGGTTGAACCACAAGCGCATGTGCAGCGTGTCCCCGAAAAAGAGAGCTCAAACTAAGCAACGCATGAGTTTCGCAAATTAAGTTGCGTGTGTGTGTGTTTGTGTTGTATGTGCAAGTTGCTTGGTGATGAGCAGAAGAAGGATAAATAAATAAAATACGACTGTTGCCGAATTGTTTTATTTTTATTGAGAAATTTTTTAATTATCGATGAATGAAACTTGAGCTGGCTAACAACCAGCAGCACTTTCACTTTCTTCTCACAGACAAAAGTCATGAGCAAGCATATATAATTTTTCTTTTATTTTCTATTCGCCTAAGCACGTTTTGCAAGCATTTCTCTTCACCTATTTCAACCTACCTGTTACTATAGAACTTTTGCTAAGAACACTCATTGATAATATCTGCACATGACTTGTATTCATGGAAATCTAGAGATAATATGGGTAAAGCAATAGTAAATAAAGCAACAGCAGTTCTGCCTAAACACACAAACATAAATTAATGTAGATAAATAAGTTCAATATTAATCGTCATATGTTTGCATTCGTAAAACTAAATTAATAAAAATATATGTATATGAGATATATGTGGACAAATTTTTATGTGGGTTATTTTTAGGGCAAAGTGTAAA